TGAACTATCCCTTTAACAATAACAACACTATTGCAAACTGCTGAGTACCCATATTTACATTCAGCAACTTGGCTGATCCTGATGAAAAACACTTATCATTTACATTTAGAAGCCTGTAATTGTGAGGGTCAGAGAGAGTATTGCAACTTGTTTTGGTAAGTGCTCATGTCATGGACTAATATAAGTGTATCTCAGGGGAAGAAACTTGAATAAATATACATATACAATATGGCCCCTGTTGTACGCAGTACTGTAAGAATTCTGCAGCTGAGGAGTCTCCACAAACCTCTGCTCAGTCTGTAGAGGGAAACAACATTATGACAAAAGTATAATTTCCAGTTGGCCTCCGCTGAGTTCTGGCGAGATGAATGCAGAGGTGTGATCGCTGTTGGCTGCATTCTATGAATAGAAAACACACGTCAATGTAAAAGCAATGCATGCACAACTCCATTCAGTTAGGATGGGATATGAGTCAGTTATTGAGTGATTTTCCTCAATCAGCAAGTTTCAGTGTTTCTGTCACAATGAATTAACATCACAATTTCTTTAAAGTGGAAGTGTGCGTGTGGCTCTTGTGTGTGTGTGTGTGTGTGTGCACTGCTTATTTACCTCCTCAAAGCATTCTCAGGGTCTCTCTCTCTCTCTGCGGTAGCATTTACACGTAGCCATAACAACACCCTTCCTCCATGTGATCGGAGAAAGAAATATACATCTGTTTATCCTGCTTAAGCAAGAAAGTCCAGTATTTGTGTAATTTGTCCAGTGCAAATGTAAATTTCTGAATATAAATTGCAAAGATGTCTGGTTTAATTTATTTAGCGAGAAGTTGGCTGTGTTGTGTCTAGGGACTGCGACAGTGAGAGAGCTACAGTATAGAGATTTTTATTCTCTTATTTATTTGAAACGCTGCAAAGAATATCATGAATATTGATGTTATGTTCGTGTTTTTTAGTTTAATTTTCCAAGTTTATGTTCAGCAGGAAAAGACTTAGATCTTATCTTATCTTAACATGCATTTTAACATGTTTAATAAGCCAAGCTAAATTGCACATGAACACCCTAGATACCTCACAGAACACCTTAGAAACTGCATAGCAACATGCAAGTGGGGTCTTTTAACTTGGGCATGTAAGCAACCATTCAGAACACAATATATACTGCTTAGCAACACCCTGACAACCACCTTGAAGGTTGGCTCTTTTGACTTTGACCAGTAAGTGAGCCCCTCGATAGCAACTATTGCAACAAGCACCTCTCACATTTTCTTCCCAAATTGTACAAATGTAGTAATCACATAAAATCTTCAGTTGCTGTAATGTATGTAATTCATTCTTGCAAATGTCAGCTCGGGTCCTGTTATTTCACTAGCCCAGGCTCTTATCGCTTATCGCTGATCTACACATAAAAATTCCACTCCACTTTACTCTCAGGGGGATTTTAAACACCACATTTCTCTGTAACAATTAAAAGCACCGCATTATCTGCACCTTTGCCAGCACTCTGACACTTTTTTCTAGTTTGCATGTTTGCTTTTTTCCCTTTTGCAATGCTGATGGTTTCAGCTTTTATCTTGCTGCTTAGTAATACTACACAAATTTTTTTTTTTCAAGGACTGAGGCAGCACTCACTCTTAATAAATTATGTTACAGACTAGGGGTGTAACAATTCACTAGTTTTCTCGATGCATTGATTACAAACCCTGACGATGCATATGCATCGATCTTTAAACATGGATTTTTGAATCGTGAATCGTCGATTTCGGACAGTAATCGATTTAAAATGCTAAGAATCGAATGAATCGCGATTTCTATAGCGATTCCATGCTTTCAAAATATATACACATTAAATTACTGCAAGCACAAGTTAATGAAGACCTTGAACAGTGTTCCTGCCCTCGCATCTCTCCTTCACGCGCTCCATTTTATTTACCGCCTGCGACTGTCACAGGATTGCGCTCGCGCTCCGTTCGTGATGTGTGATCTCTCCTTAGTACTCGTGGCCAGTTATGCTAAAGTGAAGTAGTTTTGTTTTTCTGTCGTTTTTCAATGGCTCTCAGTCATACCGACGACATTACCCGAGCAGTCGAAGGCTGCGCATTTATTGCATGGACGGAGCAAAAATGTAAGTGTCTAAAGCATACGCACAGTTCCATTGAATGATAAATGTGTTTTAACAATGTCATTGAACCAAATGTAAGAAGGAAACTGTTAAAATAACCACAGCATTAACAACAACCTTGAAATAAGAGTGCGAGGTTTATCTGATAATCTGAGGCATTAACGTATAATTTGTTGCTATAGCAAACAGACATCAGCCGCGTTTTCTTTCAGAATCATAATTCGCTGATGGAGAGGAAAAGTTAAATACTATTGCATTTTATTTTATGAAAATGAGATTAAGAAGTTTTCACACTGAAAAAGAAGTGATCTCACGCTCAAAGAACTTAAAACAGCACTATAACTTTTTCTGTGTTCAAAATTTGTAAAATGTATATAATGAGCGAGTACATCATGAATTCATCTTCCAAACTGGGATTGGGTTGCAGAACTAATTTTAATATTAGAAACAGTAGTAATATTACCTATAAAATAAATATATTACCTACTAATGGTATTAGTTACTTGCCACATATATTAGCATATGTATTTTTAAGCTATGATTCTCCCATGATTCTGAAAACAAACCAGAAAACCAAACAAAATATGTAATTTCCTTGAATTTCTGACTAAATGTTTTATTAATGCTATAGTAAATGAGTCTATTTAAAAATATTTATACATTTTAACGAATTAGCCTAATTATGTAAAAAAAAAAATCATTTTAAATAAATGAAGATAAATGAAGACTTGTTTCATTTTGAAACACTTGAATGAATGATTCAGACATCAAATACATTTAACACTCACTGTTCGCCACCTACTGGAATAATGTAACACATGCAATCATTATTTGCAGCGTATCATTACTTTCAAAGACCCATTTTGATCGCGGCTCCCGCAACATCAGAGTCTACATAAGGACTTTAAACTTGCAACACAGAAATGTAGCCTACTGTGTAAGTA